AGCCAGAGGTGGGGAGGGGCTGGAGGAGGGAAGCGTTGAACCCACCTGGGAATAGCTCAAGCATGGCAGGCCCTTGACCGTCAGCCAGAACACTTCATTTATGCCTCCACCTTTCAGAACCATCACTGAGGGCCTACTGTGTGTTGGATGCTGGGCAAACTATAGGGGGATGAAACAGTGCCATTGGGCATACACTGTGGCTCTTATTATTTCTTAGGTCATAGGCCACACACTGGTGACCTCTAAGCTTGGTTGGCCCCCAGTTGGGTTTTACTTGTGTTCACTATATTTTGGAAAAAGTCAAATGTATCTATAACTTCAAAAAAAATTCAGGAGGGGCTGGGAAGGTGGCTCAGTAGTAGAGTGCTTGCCTCGCATGCATGAGGCCCTGGGTTCAATTCCTCAGCACCACATATGCAGAAAAACGCCGGAAGTGGTGCTGTGGCTCAACTGGTAGAGCGCTAGCCTTGAGTTGAAGAGCTGAAGGACAGCGTCCAGGCCCAGAGTTCAGGCCCCACAACCAGCAAAAAAAAAAAAAAAAAAAAAAAAAAATTCAGGAGATGACATATAAAGATTTGGCTTTGTGACTTCTATTGGAAAAGTGAGAGCCACAAGTGCTAGAGTGCTAGCCTTGAGCAAAAGAAGCTCATGGACAGTGCCCAGGCCCTGAGTTCAAGCCCCAGGAGAGGAGGAGGGGGGAAGAGAGGGAGGGAGGAAGGGAGAAAGAGAGAAAGAAAGAAAGAGAGAAAGAGAGAGAGAGAAAGAAAGAAAGAAAAGAAAGAAAGAAAGAAAGGTGGGTGCCGGTGGCTCATGCCTGTAATCCTAGTTACTCAGGAAGCTGAGATCTGAGGATTGCAGTTCAAAGCCAGCCCGGGCAGGAAAGTCAGTGAGACTCTTATCTCCAATAAACCACTTGAAAACCGGAAGTGGTGCTGTGGCTTAAGCGGTAGACCGCTCACCTTGAGCTGAAGAGCACAGGGACAGCACCCAAGCCCAGAGTTCAAGCCCCATGACAGAAAGAAAGAAAGAGAGAGAGAGAGAGAGAGGAAGGAAGGAAGGAAGGAAGGAAACAAAGAAAGGAAAGAAAGACTAGTGAGAGCCAGGCATGGTGATGTATGATTGTAATCTCAGCTACTTAGATGACAAATAGGAAGATCAGGTCTAAGGCTGGCCCTAAGCAAAAGCACAAGATCTGATCTGAAAAATAACTAAAGCAAAAAAATCTGAGAGTGTGGCTCAAATGGTAATACACCCATCTAGCAAAAACAAAGCCCTGAGTTTGATCTCTAGTACTAAGGCAAACTGGGACAATGCTACAGGAAAACACTAAACTTCCCAGAGCTCTTCATAGTTCTCGGAGCACTTTTTTCTTTTTTTTGGGGGGGGGGGGGTCCGGTCGTGGGGCCTGAACTCTGGGCCTGGGCGCTGTCCCTCAGCTCTTCAGCTCAAGGCTAGCACTCTACCACTTGAGCCACAGCGCCACTTCCGGCTTTTTTTTTTTTTTTCTGCTTATGTGGTGCTGAGGAATGGAACCCAGGGCCTCATGCATGCAAGGCAAGCACTCTACCACTGAGCCACTTTCCCAGCCTAGCCACTTCCGGCTTTTTTCTTTTTGCTTATGTGGAATCGAACCCAGGGCCTCATGCATGCAAGGCAAGCACTCTACCACTAAGCCACCTTCCCAGCCCCATTATAAGCACTTTTTATGTATGTGTGTGCCAGTACTGAGAACTTTTCATTTTTGAATGTGTGTCTCAGTACCAGGGTTTGAACTCAAAGCCTCATGCTCTTGCTTGGCTTTACCCCTCAAGATGAGCATTCTACCACTTGAGCCACAGCTCTACTTCCAGCTCAGTGGTGGTTCATTAGAGATAAGAGTCTCGTGGACTTTTCCTGCCCAGGCTGGATTGGAACTGCAATCCACAGATCTGTCTCCTTGAGGTAGGATTACAGGTGTGAGCCACCAGTGCCCTGCTCCTAAAGCATTTTTATAATGTGCAACAACATGGCAACCCTTTGAAAAGACAGGGCAGGTGGGTATTCACTGAGAGGAGAGCTGAAAATCTGAATCTCAGAGGGGCTGGAATGAGTTGCCCAGGGTAGCACAGCCAAGAAGTAACCAGGCCAAGACAAGCCCACCAGTCTATCTGATTCTTAAGGCTTGTCTTCTTATTACCCTCCACTGCCTGCCTTCCCTGGGCAGGACAAGTCTAATTCTATCCTCCCTCCCTTTCTCTTCCTGGCTGTCCCAGGTGGCCATTGCCAGTGTCTTACACACAGAGGTCTGCCAGCGCCTGAAAGCATCCCCATATGTGGGGCTGGTATTAGACGAGGCCAGGGACTGGCCTGAAACCCACAGCTTGGCCCTGTTCGCCACTTCCATGTCCCCATGTGATGGCCAGCCTGCTACTACCTTCCTGGGCACTGTGGAGCTGCAGGAGGGCGAGGCTACTGCTGGACAACTCCTGGACATCCTAAAAGCCTTTGGTATATCTGCCTCCAAGCTGGCTTGGCTCAGCTCCAGCCTCCCCAGTGACCGCCTGGAGAGCATCAGCCAGCAGCTCCGGGCCATCTGTCCATTGCTCACAGAGCTTCACTGTCTTTCTGGCCGGACAGATCCAGAGCCCCCTGCCTACCTGGGTGAATATGAGAGCATCTTGGATGCCCTCTTCCGCCTGCATGGTGGCCCCAGTTCCCATATGGTACCCAAGCTACGAGCAGCACTGGACAGCGCGGCTGTGGACTTGGCAGGGCCCCGGCCAGTACCCTGGGCTTCCTTGTTGCCTGTCGTGGAAGCAGTAGCTGAAGCCTGGCCTTGCTTGGTACCTACCCTAGAGGCTATTGCTCCAGCCTCGCCCACAACTGGGGCGCTGGCCTTGGCCCTGCACCAGTTCACCTTCGTAGCCTTCACGCACTTGCAGCTGGACGCTCTGCCCTCGGTACAGAAACTTACCCTGGTGTTGCAGTCTGAAGAGCCAGACTTGGCCTTGCTACAGCCCCTGGTGATGGCGGCCACGGCTTCCATCCAAGGTCAGCATGGCTCAGGAGGTGCCCACCTCCAGCGCCTGCTGCTAGCACTGGCATTCCTCTAGCCCTGATGGAGAAGGCCAGCGTTGTACCTACCGTGGCGTGGAGCTGGTGGGTTACTCTGCAGCTGCACTCCGGGGCTTGGAGAGGCTCTGGGGGGATCTCCTGGACTCCATGCAGAAGGGACTGCAGGATTCCTACCCTGGGCCCTCTCTGGATTATGTGGCTGCCTTTGCAGCCATCTTCGATCCCCGCCACTACCCACAGGTGCCCGAGGAGCTGGACATGCATGGCAAGGGGTCGCTGCAGACGCTGCTGCAGAGCTTTGGGCCAGCCCTGGTGTCCCCACACGTGCTGGGTGACTTTGCACTCTTCAAGCGCGTGGTGTCCAGCCTGGGGCAGCTCAGCCCTCCAGCTCTGTGTACCAAGCTGGCATGCAGGCACTCTGAGCTGTACAAGCTCTTCCCAGACTTCGCCGCCCTCGCTGCCCTGGCCTTGGCACTGCCAGTGGGTGCTGGGCTGATGGACAAGGTGGGCCGCAGCCCTGAGCTGCGGTGGTGGGGACAGAGCGGGGCTGGGGACAGTCAGGGTGACCACATAGTGAAGATCGCTGTGGATGGGCCCCCTCTGCACGAGTTTGACTTTATGCTGGCAGTGGAGTTCTTAGAGAGTGGCCTGGGAGGAGGGGTTCCTGGGGGCTCAACTTATCTGAGAGCGATTTCCTCATTTTCCAGCCAGCATGGGGGCCTAGACACCCTAAGGGTTAGCTCAGGTGTACTCATACTGACCTATTAACTGTGCTCTGTGGTCCGCCTCTTCCCCTCCCTGCAGAGCACTGCAGGCACCCCTCCACTGTCTGGAAAAGTGGGTAGAGGTACTAGCAAAGATCTGGAAGTCCTCAGGCTTTCCCAGGCTCCTAGAGTGTGCTGAGGAGAGCTTGCCATTTTCCCTTCTGGTCCTTGCCCATATTTTGACCCTAGGAAAGTAGAGAGGAGACTCTTGAGGGGCTAAGGGGAAAGGAGAATTGGTCCTTAACTGTTTCCTAGCCTCCAGTCTTGTGTAGCTTCTCAGCTAAGACTGGATAGCACATGGCCATGCTTGGTTCTGACACCCAGCCCAGCACCTTCTACTGTGAATAAGCTAATGGTTCAAGGGAGTAGACTCATCATCCTCCAGGCCAAAAGGCTGAATATGACCAGACATAGCATAAATCTGCAAATATGAAATAAGGATATCCTGTCTTTCACAATGTGAAGACACAAAAAGCAAAAAAAAAGGGGGGGGCTTCTTTTGGTTTTGCAGGCACAGAGCCCCTAAATTGATTGGGTTTAGTTCAAATTTCTTCTTCCTGGAAGTCAGGTTGCTTTAAGTTCCTAGCGCTCTCCTGCCCTTGCCTCAGACTTTCAAGACCAAAGACTACAAAACTGCTGGTGCTGCTGGGGCTGCCCTGGATGTGCAGGGAATTTGGCCTTCTCAGGGGAGCAGCGATGGCTTCCGCAGAGCTGGGGTGTGCATCTCCTCAGACACCTGTGGATTCCTCATTCCCTTCGGTCAGCCCTTTTCTGTAAATGGTGTGGGACTCAGAGAGAGAGAAAGGACAGAGAGTAGGAGGGAAGGGGGCTAGTCAAGCCCTGGGCTTTATTTAATTGGTAATAAAAATGGAAACCCAGTACATCACACAGTCTCCATGGTAGTATGTAGCATCTCTGCTTCCTCTGGCTGCCCCCTGGACCACCCTCCCTCTGGGAGTTCATTTGGGGAGGATCATTCTCTTGGGTTGAAGCCTGAGCTGTGGAGCCTTTACCTCTGCCTCCCCAACTGGGTTTGGCTGGTGTGACTTTGTGAAGAGGAAAACAAAATGTCTGCCTTGGCTCTACCTCCAAGAAGCCCATCAGCATTCAGTCCTGGCTTCAGAGGTAGGACAGAGCCCCCGTGGCTCCCCGTTTCAGACCCTGCCCTTCTTCCTCCTGCAGCAGGCCCTGCCTCCAGCTCCCCCAGTCCCCTGCTGGCCTCTCTGCCCCTGCCCACTCGGCCTCTGCAGCCCCCGCTGGACTTCAAGCACTTGCTGGCCTTCCACTTCAATGGCACCACCCCGCTCAGTCTCTTCCCCAACTTCAGCACGGTACGGGCTGGGCAGGAGGGGGGGGCACATGGCCAAGCCTGGGGGGTGGGCAGGGAAGGTGCCTTATAGGGGCCGAGCATAGTATCTGGGGCTAACCAAAAGCTCACTCCTCTATCACCCTAGAGAGTGGCTAATTTTTCACAAACAGGGATTTTCTGGGTCAAGCTGTCTCTAAGGCTAGTGAACAAGATGGTGTCACCCCAAAGTTACCCCTACCCCACCATCACAACTGCCCAGAGACGGAGGCTTCTGCTTGAGTTTTTGTGGAGAGACTCCTGTGGCTGATCCATGCATGTCTGTGTGTCGGTGTACAGTTGGGGTGAGCCTTTCTGTTGTTGCCTGGTGTCTCTACAGGACTTTGTGTATTATGTGTGGTTGTGAACCTGTGTGTTGGTGTCTTGTATATAATAGGTAACTGTATGTAATTAATGTGTGTATCTGTGTTTCTGAGGGGTTTTTGGTATGTCTTTGTGTCTTCTATGCATGTGTTGGGGATGTGTCTGATTTGCCAGTGTGTTTCTGTGTGGTTTGTTTGGCTGTGAGTCTTCCTGTATGTATCTTTTGTCTCTAAGTGTGTACATGCTGTAAACTTAGGCACCTTGTGGCTGTACTAGGCCTGTACATTTCCGTGTGTGCGTGAGTAAAGTGTTGTCAGTGTGGATTTTACTTTATTCCCTGAGGTATCAGAAACCATCCCCATTGTTTTCACATTTATTTTTTTTTATTTTTATTTTTTTTTATTTTTGCTTTATGTGGTGCTTAGGAATCGAACCCAGGGCCTCTGGCATGCAAGGCATGCGCTCTACCACTGAGCCACCTTCCCAGCCCCTCACATTTATTTTTATTTTGGGGTAATCTTGGGGCTTAAACTCAGGGCGGGCTTCACACTTGCTAGGCAGGCCCTTTACCCCTTGAGCCACCTCTCTAGCCCCTATTTTTCATTTAGAAAAAAAAAAAATTATGGCTAAACCCACCCCATCCTTTGAGACTGTTCCCAAAAGCCATCTCAGGTAACCTTAGGGTCAGTTGGGACTGGGCCTCTGGGCTTCAGAACCTATTCTCAATTGCTGACATGCGCACTCTTCAACGCAGGCCCTTAGCGGCAGGGGAGAGCCTGAGGCTCCTCTCTCTGAGATCCTGGCCCTGCACCCCTCTACCTCTTTCTGTCCTTCAGCATGGTCTCTGCAGGAGACCCACTCTCCCCTCGGAGTCTCAGTTCTCTTCTATTGGAAAGTTCCTCTTGACAAACTTCAGCTTTTGGCCCAGTAATCTAAAAGGCACTCTCTCCCCACCCCCCCAAAAAATAAAGGAACATAAAGCCTTGCTTGGTTTGATAAAAGGAAAAATATAGTGAAAAAGAGAACATCTCTGTTACTGCTCAAAGGAAATGAATATGCTTGGGGAACCTCAGACCTCCTGGCCCCCTGCCTCTCCAGCTCTCCTTCTCCTGAGAACCTACCCAGGGACAGTGTCAGAGCTGGTAAGATAGGACTCTTACAGGTCCATGCATATGGATGAGGTATGGGTGAGGGCGGGGAGACATCCTCCCTCCTTACCTTTTCCTACACCAATTCTGTCTCAACTGATTCTTGCTGGTCTCCATGGCTCACACCTATAGTTCTAGCCACTTAGGAGGCTGGGAATTTGAGGATTATGGTTTGAAGACAGCCTGGGCAGGAAAGTCCATGAAACTTGAATCTCCAGTTAACCACAAAAAAAGCAGGAAGTAGAGCTGTGGCTCAAGTGGTATTCTAGCCTTGTGTAAAAAAAATTCAGGGACAGTGCCCAGGCCCTGAGTTCAAGCCCCAGTACCAGCACATGCACAGACACACAAAATGATTCTTGCAAAACGAAAGAACAACAAAGCTGGGACCAAATGCCAAAGTGATCACTAGGCCACGATTCTAGTTCTTAATGTCACGCAGCTCACCCTGGCCAGCCCCTACCTCCAAGCTGGCAGTTAGTCAGCTAGGGACAGGCTGTCTTAGTCTGGCATCCACAGCATGGGAAAGTTCTTTCTAGAAGCTCCCCACTCTCTAGTTTTCAGTTTTTCCTATTTTTTTTTTTAAACTCCCTGCTTCCTCAGGCAACCCCAGAGTTATTGTGCCCTCCCACCTTCCTCACAGATGGACCCAGTCCAGAAAGCTGTCATCAGCCACACATTTGGGGTTCCCTCCCCTCTGAAGAAGAAGCTCTTCATCTCCTGTAACATCTGTCACCTGAGGTTCAACTCAGCGGTGAGAGGGAGTCATGGAAACAGGGCTGGGCTTCCTTCCAAGGTATTTCTGGAAGGACAGGGGTGGTAAAGGGGCTGCAGAAGAGGCCCTCATGATCCTTTCGCTGGCCCATCCTCTCCCCTCTCCTGCCCGTTCCCATTGTCCCCTGCTGCCCAAATCTATCCTCTGAGACTTTCATGTCGCTCCCTCTGCCTCGCTCCTATGTTCTGGATCCTTCTGTAAGAGAGAAGACTGCCCTTCTCTAGCATGGGTACTGTGGGGGTAGAGGTAAGAGGCTTATAGAACGTGTTCATACCCAGCATCTTAGTGCAGTCTCCTGTTCCCCTCCTCACTTGTCAGAGGAGAAAACTGAGTCTCAGAGGCTAAGAGACTGACCCTACTGCCACACAGATGGTAAAGCAAAGCTAGGATTTGAAGCTGGGCACCAGTGGCTCATACCTGTAATCCTAGCTATTCAGGAGACTGAGATCTGGGGATTGTAGTTCAAAGTTGGCCTGGGCAGGAAAGTCTGTAATACTCATCTCCAATTATCTACAAAAAAGCTGGAAGTGGAGGTGTGGTGCAAGTGGTAGAGTGCCAGCCTTGAGCACACAAACTCAGGGACAGCGCCCAGGTCCTGAGCACAAGTCCCAGGACCAAAAAAAAAAAAGATTTGAACCCATGCCATGTTATCCCTAAAGCCTCCCCATATAGGAAGAAGAGGAGCCTCTTTCTGGCCTACCAGGAAAGCCATTCTGGGCTATGGGCTACAGTGGACTTTGAAGATAGTCACCGGTAGTTCATAACTGTAATCCTAGCTACTCAGGAGGCTGAGGATCACAGTTCAAAGCCAGACCAGGCTAAAATAATTCATGAGAAGCCGGGCACTGGTGGCTTATGCTTGTAATCCTAGCACTTCAGGAGGCTGAGATCTGAGGATCACGGTTCAAAGCCAGCCCGGGCAGGAAAGTCCGTGAGACTCTTGTCTCCAATAAATCACTAGAAAATCTGAAGTAGCACTGTGGCTCAAGCAGTAGAGCGCTCACCTTGAGCTGAAGAGCACAAGGACAGCGCCCAGGCCCAGAGTTCAAGCCCCACACCGACAAAAAATAATAATAAAAAAAAAATCATGAGACTCATCTCCAATTAACCACCAAAAAGCCAAAAGTAGAGATGTGGTTCAAGTAGTAGAGCGCTAGCCTTTAGCCAAAAACCTAAAGGTACAGTGTCTAGGCCCTGAGTAGCTTCATTACTGACACATACATACTCACAAAAGAAGAATTTATTGCCGGGCACCGGTGGCTCATGCCTGTAATCCTAACTACTCAGGAGGCTGAGATCTGAGGATCACAGTTCAAAGCCAGCTCGGGCAGGAAAGTCTGTGAGACTCTTATCTCCAATAAATCACTAGAAAACCAGAAGTGGCACTGTGGCTCAAGCGGTAGAGTGCTCACCTTGAGCTGAAGAGCTGAGGGACAGTGCCTAAGCCCAGAGTTCAAGTCCCACAACCGACAAAAACAAAACAAAACAAAAGAAGAATTTATTGTTGAGCTGGCAATGTGGCTTAGTGGTAGAGTGCTTGCCTAGCATGCGGGATTTGATTCCTCAGTACCACATACACAGAAAAAGCCAGAAGTGGTGCTGTGGCTCAAGTGGTAGAGTGCTAGCCTTGAGTAAAAAGCAGCTCAGGGACAATGCCCAGGCGCTAAGTTCAAGCCCCAGGACTAGCAAAGATGAAGAAGGAAAAAGGAAGAAGAAGAAGGAGGAGGAGGAAAAGGAGGAGGAGGAAGAGGAGGAGGAGGAGGAGGAGGAGGAGGAGGAAGGAGTAGTTACTATTATTATGTGTCCATGGTGTGGTCCAAGTCCTCTGCTTCCTTTTGACTTTGTCCCTCTACTCAGCATCAGTTTCTGGATGAAGCATGTGGAACCAGAGTGGAAATAGTGACCCTCTGCCCTCCTCTCTCCAGAACCAGGCTGAAGCACATTATAAAGGCCACAAGCATGCCAGGAAACTCAAGGCTGTTGAAGCTGCCAAGAACAAGCAGAGGCTGCAAACGCTGGCCCGGGATGAGGTGGTGGTACCCCTAGTCCCAACTCTGGCCAGTGGAGCCCCTGGAGAGTCGCAGAGCAAAGGTTAGTCCTGAAATCTTCTCCTGCCCTCGCCCGGAGTTTGGCTTCTGATAAGGGGTTGGGTGAGGCCTCCTTGTTACTGTCTCTTATAGACAAAGGCACTCAAGGGCACAGCTTAGTGAACTTCCTAACCTGAACAATTCCAGATTATGAGACACAGAACTAGCACCCAGAAACTTCCAGGTCCCCTCCTATTCACCACCTTACTGCATTTGTTTCCTAAGCTGCCAACAAATGACTGTAAATCGGGTGACAGTGAACAATGGAAATTAATGTTCCCACAATTCAGATATCAGAAGTCCCAAGCTGAAGGGGCTTAACACCTGTGATCCTGGCCACTCAGAGAGGCTGAGATCTGGAGGATCATGCTTCAAAGTCAGCCAGGGTAGAAAACCCCACAAGAATGACCAGCATGTATTTGATATTGTTATAATTTGTGGAGGGGAAGGGAAAAAACAAATCGTTTAAATAGGGATACAGGTGGACCCATTGCAACAATGAGATGTACAAGTCGTTATGCCGAAAATGAACTTTACAACTTTGGTGTGTGTGTGGGCGGGGGGAGGATGGGATGGGAAGGGGAAACAAAGGAGGAGGCTACAATGATTGATAAGAAATGTACTCATTACCTTGCCCATGTAATTGTAACCCTTCTGTACAGTATTTTCACAATAAAAAAAATTAAAAAAAGAATGACAGCACAAAGCAGGGCTGACTGTGGGCTCAAGTAGTAGACTGCCATACTAAGGACAGTGTGTGGCCCTCAGTTCAAACCCTGGTACCTCCCTGCTGAAAAGGGGGGAAAAAGTCCCAAGTTAAGATTTGTCAACAAGGACCTCCTCTAGCCTCTGCTTCCACCTGCATTACAATTTCTCCCCAATGTGACTCTGTGGCTTCACATGGTCTTTTCTTCCCTCCCTCTCTCTCCCTCCCTCCCCCCCCCCCCCCACACCTCTCTGGACAAGCCCTTGCTATGTAGCTCAGTCTGGCCTCAAACTCTCATCCTCCTGCCTCACCTCTCAAATGCTAATTTGTGTCTGTAAACCATCTCCAAGGTCACATTCTCAAGTTCCATAAGGATGGGAATACTTTGAAAGACAGTATACAAGCAGCTGCTATACCCCACTCCCACTGCTGGGGTAACTCTGATCCTGGCTTTTCTCAGCATAGGTTAGTTCTGCTTGGCTTTGTTGAATCATAGAGTGTGTAGGTTTCTGTGTCTGGCTTCTATCCCTCTCTCATGAACACTCATCAACATTGGGTATGTCTATAAGGCTGCTGCATGTGGCAATAGTTTCCCCTTTCCACAATTATGTAGTACTCCACTACACGGACATACTACTGTCCTGTTTGATGGACACCTGAATAGCTTCCAGTTTTTTGCTTTTAATGTTCTAGGAACATTCTAGCCCATCTTTCTGGTGACTACTGCTTATTTGTTACCAAGTAACTACAGGAGTGCGAGGGCTTTCTAAGACTGCAGTCATCCCTGGCTATATTGCAGTTCACTTATTGTGGCTTCACTGCATCACAGTTTTGTGGGTTTTTAAAAATACATAAATAGTTATCCCCCACCTGTTGCAGGACTTAGGGTCCAGAGGCCCCCATGACAGGTGAAAATCCGCGAAGTAGCAGCATTATCTAGTCATCCCTCGCTATATGAAGGTTCACTTATTGCTAGTCAGTGGATTTTCACCTATTGCAGGGTTCTCTGGAACACAAGTCCTGCGATAGGTGAAGGATCACTGTACTCTGTCCAACTTTATTTTGGGTAGGGAAACTGAGGCCCAAATCCTCCCAGTGAATTTGTGGTAGAGGGGCCTGGAATTCAGTGCTGGTCATCCCAGCAACAGGGATCCCACTGAACCCCAGGGGCTCAGAAACCGTCCTGGGCCTCCCACCTCAATGACCCATCTCTCCGCAGGTCCGGCCGCCTGTCCCCTCGGCCCTCCACTCCAGCTATCACTGACCCCAGACCCACCAGCCAGGGAGCCATCCCACCAGGACCTCTTGGATGCTACCTCCTCTTCCACCTCCTCCTCCTGCCCACCTCGCTCCCCAGAGCCAGGCAGGGAGGCACCAGGGCCTGAGCCGCCAGCTGTGGCTGTGGGCAGTGGAGTGGGTGGGGAAGGCAGGAGCGAGAAGGGGCGCCTCTACTGCCCCACATGTAAGGTGACCGTGAACTCAGCCTCCCAGCTGCAGGCTCATAACACAGGTCAGTTCCCCCACCCCAAGGAGCAGAGGCAAGGGCAGGGAGGCTGACCTCACCAAATGCGGGCAGCCGAGCCCCCTGGCCGCTTTGTGCCTGGGCTGGGTGACAGAGGCATGGTATCCCACTGTTACTGTGGCCAGGCGCTTCTGGGTCCTAACACTGATCCCTGAGGAGGGGGCCCTGGGAAGTCTGGGGTAGCAAGGACTGAAAGCTACTAAATCTGGGAAGTCTTTCTAGACACCAGAGGACAGGAGGCACCTCTGCCGTTGCTTGCCATGTCTCCTTAGATCAGACCAGAAGGGACTGCCATTAGAGCAGTAGAGGGCTGGCCAGTGACAGCCAGAAGACCTTCCTTGGGGGGGTACACTGGCAGGAAGCCAGAGACTCTGGAAGGGAAAAATCTGTGTTGTGCAGAGGCTTAATGAAAGGGATGGCCACACGGGCCTCGTTTGAGGGGGCCTCCGTGCTGACAGACTTTATGCCCTCCTTTCAGGAGCCAAACACCGGTGGATGATGGAAGGTCAAGGAGGGGCTCCCCGGAGGGGCCGAGGTCGCACAGTGTCCCGAGGTGGACCTGGACACAAGACCAAGAGAGTGACGGGGGGCCGGGCCCCCCGCCAAGGGCCTACCCCGCCTTTCCACTGTGCTCTCTGTCAGCTCCAGGTCAATTCAGAGACCCAGCTCAAGCAGGTAGAGGAGAGGGATGGGGTAGAGCTAGCATGGAGCAGACTGGGAAAAGAGGGGGAAGGGAAGGGGTGGAGTGAGGCCGGCTGGCTCTTTGAGGCCAAGTTCACCTCGCTAGTATGTGCTCATTGAAGGTGGGCTGTGGGTAGAGGGTGAGAGGGTAGTGTGGGGGGGGGGGGGGTCTGCGGGCTTCCTCCTCTTGTTCCCAGTCTATCTGTCTGTCCATCAGCACATGAGCAGCCGGAGGCACAAAGACCGCCTGGCAGGGAAGCTTCCCAAGCCCCCCAGCCAGCACAGCAAGCTACAGAAGCACGCAGCTCTAGCTGTCAGCGTCCTCAAGGTATCTGTGTCCAGTCTAGTGGCAGGATTGCAGGAAGGGGAAGGGCCACTTGGGGAGCTTGGCTTGTGGCTGGAAGGGCAGGAAGGAAGTCACCTGCTCTGAGGCTGCCTGGGCAGATAAAGATGCGGGGTTGGGTTTTGGGCTGTCCTGGGATCTACCCAGAGGAATTTCCGGCAGGTGGACTGGGGTCATAATCTTAGGGGCCAGAGCCAGGGCTGGGTGGACATCTCCTAGAGACCATGTCTACCCAGCCCCCACAAGCCTTCTCCCTTCTTCCATCCCCAGGCTGGCTTCCCTGGGGGTGGGGGTGGGGGCAGGAAGACAGGTGGTGAAGAAAGCCCTCTGGAATGACAGTTTGGGGGTGGGAAGGGAGGACGATTAAGGGTTGGAATGCTAGGAAGCACGTTCCCATGAGGCAGAAGCCCACGGGGATGGGGCCCAGAGAGGAGGTGGGTTTTTCTGGGGTCAGAAGTCCTGTTCACTCCTCTCTTTTCTTTGTAGTCTAAACTGGCCTTGCAGAAACAACTCACCAAGACGCTGGCAGCCCGTTTCCTGCCCAGCCCACTGCCCACGACAGCCGCTGCCATCTGTGCCCTGCCAGGGCCCCTGGCTCTTCGGCCTGCACCCACAGCTGCAGCTACCCTCTTCCCAACTCCCATCCTGGGTCCAGCTCTGTTTCGCACCCCAGCAGGAACAGTCCGCCCTGCCACAGGACCCATCCTCTTTGCCCCCTACTAGCCCTCCTGGAGAGGCTAGGGCAGATTTCCTGACAGCTACTATCTTCCTCTGCTCCCCAGACACCTGCTCTCTGCACCCCACAGGGACTGCCTTCTGCACGTTAAGGGGATCCTGTTCAGTATAGGGCAGCTGCCCTTCACTCTGTCTGGACTGGGGATCCAGCCAGCTCACTCGGTCCAACCAATGGCTATCTCCACTCCTTTCCTGGCCCTAGTCCTAGGCTAGTCCTAGGCTCCCTTTCACTTCCCAGCCTGCCGCATCCCAAGGATCTATGCAGAACCCCAGCCCCAGTCACGTGGTGCTTCCCCCATCCAGACACCTATACACATGGACTCTAGGCATCTTAGCTTTCATAAGCCAGCCTTGCCTGGACTGAGGACACATGTAGGATCTTTACTCCTGTGCTCTGGGGCCTCACTGGCTCTACATCACTGGAAATAAGGGATGGGTTCTCAAACATGAGTGTGTTTGAAGTGACCATAGGTACGACAGAGCACAGTAGGGGTAAAAAGGGACCGGTCAAGCAGTACTAAAGTGGGGCAGAGCCAAGGGGAACCTCATCTGATCTGAGGGGATGGGAGTAGGGCAGAAATAGGAGAGGATGATGTTTGGGCTGGGCCTTGGTTTTAATAAAAATGACTCATAGGGTGAGGTGTGGTGGCTCACACCTGTAATCTCAGCAACAAAAGAGACAGCGACTGGGAGCAATATGATTTGAGCCTCATCTGGACAAAAAGTAAAATTCCCATTTCAGTCAAGTGTTAGGTGAGGTAGCAGACACCTATGGTGCCTAGCCCTGCAAAATCCTATCTGAGAAAAATCGAAGCAAAAAAGGGCTGAGGGGTATGGCCCAAGTGGTAGAGCACTTGCCTAGCAACAATGCGGCCCAGAGATTAAACTCCAATAGCACAAAAAATAAAGATAGTGACCTGTCCCACCAAAGCACTCATTTCTTAGGCTTTCAGATTCTACCTGAGCCCAGCTCTTGGGGTGGGAGTGCACTGTGTTTCCCAGTTAACTCCAAGTCCCTCCTCACCCCTGGCCCTCCCAGCTCCAAAATGAAGAGCATTCTTCCATTGTTCTCTACTCCAGACAGGGCCCCAGCCAAGTACAGCTCTCTCTCCTCTAGCCAGCCTCATGCTAAAGCTGAGTGCTGATCAGATATATCTTCAAGTCTACTCTCATACTGCCAAAGTCCGTGTCACAAAACCATGCCTGCCCCCTCAACTGCCAATATGGGACTTCGCCAGTATCCACCTGCATCTTTTTTTTTCCCCTCCAAGGTATTTCCAGTGGGAAGATAAGAAGGGTGGGGGGAACTTTTTGATAACAGCAGTTGTGGTTTTATTGTGTCCAACACAACAATAAATGAACTTTGAGCCTGAAGATGCCCTGAATTCTCCTTTCCCAGCCCTGGGTACCAGCCCCTATACTTCTGTTCAGTAGAGAAGTATTAATTGGAGGTTGCCTGGTTGTAGTGTCTCACCCACACCAGCTATACATACTAGAAACAAAAAGTGGGCACTGGAAATCGGGGTTGTAAGCTCACTTGATAGCATGCCTGTGTACAGCCTCCCTTCTGAACCTCAAAACACAAGGCTTATTAGCTCAGGAGGCTGCTACTGGTTTGCCTGGTTTTATTCAGGCATCTGAGGTAAGGATGAAGGGCTAGAGGAGCACCTTGTCCAGCCTTCACCATGGCATCAGGCATATAAATACAGGGAATATAAATATAAATCCAGCTACTCACTGAAAACAACCAGAGAGAGAGGAATGAAGACCAGTTCCCATGGGGTGGTCTGCAGACTGGGTACTAGATTGCCACTGGCAACTGAGAGTGCACTCTTGCCCCCTAGTGGTTGGAGGGAGAGAAGCCCAGCCTCCAGGGCTGGTAGGTATAGCACCTTAAAGAGAGAAAAGCAAGGGGGCAAAGCCACAGCCTTTAGAAAATCATAGAGCTGGAAAGGATCCAGGAGATGGATTAAGCAACTCCTGTCAAATTACATATGAGAAAAACAAACCCACAGCCAGAGGAGAATTGCCTTACTGGGCCACACAGTCAGCTGGTGACTCACAGCTTAGTCATCACTCAGTTCAGCCTCAACCAATGAGGCCCATCTACTACCAAAGCAGGAAGAGGAAGTGAAACAGTTGGGGGAAGGGAGTTAAGACTTCAAACACAAATTGACACTGCCAGGAGGCTGTCTTCTTCCAGCCAAGAACTGGCTATGGAAAGATCAAGGTGAGGGATGAGGAACCATCCCTATCACCAGCATGTCTTTCTCAAGTCCAGGCTGGATGCTTGAGATATATGCATATTACTGGCAGGAAATGCAGAGGGTTAAGACCCTGTAATAGGAGCAGACTTGTGATTGGGCACTTCAGTATGGGAGCTCTTCAGCCTTCCCAGGGCAGATGGAAGGGAAGATTACCTACAAATAGCCCCACACACCTCCTAGAGAGGGAACAGAAGTGGCTTTGGCCTAGGCCAGCCCAGCTGGCCGCCTACAGTGTCTCCCCTAAAGCTTGCCTATGTACCCCTTGCTGTCAGTCCATCCTTTAGAGCCCCAGAAACTAGAATGGGGTTAGGAAAGTGAAGAAAGAACAGCAGGTTTTCAGCCATCCAAGGAGCCGCTGCCCTTGTTCTTGCGGCTGAGGGGAAAGGCAGACTTGCTCTGGGGTTGGGTCATCTTGCTGGCCAGGTAGACGAAGGGCTCCAGGAGGGAGCGGCGGTCAGCCACCGATACCTCCCATAGCTTCACCTTCTCTGACTTGGCCCAGTGCTGAGCCATATCTGGGTCTACACGTCGCTGCTCCTGCAGGTCACACTTATTGCCAAGGACCACGATGGTAACCTGGGGAAGAGAGACAGTAAAAGTCTGTGAATTAATGGATGCCAGTGGTTCATGCCTATAATCCTAATTGTTCAGGAGGCTGAGATCTGAAGATCAAAGCTCAAAGCCATCCGGGGCAGCAAAGTTTATGAGATGCTTATCTCCAATCGACTACCAGAATGCCAGAAGTGGCACTGTGGCTCAAAGTGGTAGAGTGCTAGCCTTGAGTGGAAAAAGTTCAGGGACAGTACCCAGGCCCTAAGTCCAGGCCCTGAGTTCAAGCCCACAACCACCACCAACAATTAAAAACAAAACAAAAAAACCCGTGCATATACCATATACCATGGACCTGAAGATCTAGTGCCAAGTTTTGGCTAAACAACTGGGAAGCGATTTCAAAGTCCTGCACACACTTGTAATCCCATCTCTATTCAACCCTTTGCTCAGACCTCTCTTTTACAGGGTGGGTTTCTGGGTGTCCTCTTGTAACATACACTTCTCAAGTTACAGCATACTCAGAAGGGAGGCTGAGGCAGGAAGATCTTGAATTTGAAGCCAGCCTGGACTACATAGTTCTCTCAACTGTTTAGACAATTGGGGTTTTAGGGACCAGCAGGAAGAAAGATTGAGGGAGCTGCATATGTTAGATTGGGGACCCCCTTAACCCAAAGAGACCCCTCTCTGGTTGAGCTGCCTTACATGGAGCTACCACTGAGGGTGAACATACACTCTATGATTTCCACCCTCTTCTCAGTCCTAACTTACCTCTTAGCAAAGAGTGAAAGAATAGAGCCATGTTGGACACTCTCCCACCAGAGGTTCCCTGCAGGAATCTAGAGCACACACCTCCTTCTTGTCCTTGGACTTGTCAATCTCCTTCTTGAGCAGCTCCACACGCTGGAAGGACTCTCGGCTGTCCGTGCTGTAGACCAGGACATAGCCATCGGTGCAGGAGAAGCAGTGCCGGGGCAACTCAGCCCCGTCTCGAAGTCCCCGGGTGTCATAGAAACGCACCTGCTCCCGTACTCCCCGGTCTGTCTCAATTGAACCCACATATATGTCCTCCTGGGTTTCAATCATCTCAGAACCTGGGACAAAGTCAAGAAACTCCTTTGAAGTAGGGAGATGGGAAATGTGAATGAGAACATGCTAACAGGCTAGCCAGACAGTGGGAGAAAGGAATGTGGGGGCTGAAGAGAGGTCAGACTTGGGAAGAGAGGTCAGACAGGGCTGGGATGGTTAGGGAAACATGTGGAAATCATGCTAAGCAGAAGTATAACATGGGAATTTTTTTCTGTCTTGCATCATGTATGTCCTCCCTTCAGGTTTATTGTGGTGGTGGGAGTTATTTTAATTTTATATTTTTGTATTTGTGATGCTGGAATTCAAACCTAGGGCTTCACACACATCAGGCAAGGGTTGAACCATGGGTTACACCATAGCTTAGTTTACTCTTGAAAGTACAAAAACCACCGGCAAGTATGGCATGTTTGGTGTGATCAAGCTCTATTTTTTTGTTGTTGTTGCTTGGAATTGTCTAAACAATTGTGAAGACTACGTAGCCCAGGCTGGCTTTAAACTCAAGATCTTCCTGCCTCAGCCTCCCTCCTGAGTATGTTGTAACTTTAGAAGCAGTTACAAGAGGACACCCAGAAAGCCAAAGCAAAAGGTTGAATAGAGGTGGGATTACAAGTGTGTGCAACCATGCCCAATTCTATTCCTTAATTCTTTGTCTTCCACTATTCCCCCAGTTGCAACCACACTCACCTACTACGTGGTTCCCGTACAGAAGCTGCTCCAGGATTGAAGTTTTGCCCACAGATGCTTGGCCACACACAACCACCTTGCAGCTCTTCCCCATGCTTAACCTCCAACCTTGAGGAATAAAAGCATTCTGGGTAAAGTTTGGACCTGAATGTAAAACTCCAGGGATTGTGCACTGATTCTAGCTGGGGTGCACTGAACTGAAGTCGAAGTCTGCTATAGAACAGTGAGCTAGACTGCATTCTCTTATTATTCCCAGTACGTGGCCGGTAGCTGGCACAGACTAATGCTCACTACAGGTGGTCCCAATGGTTTCAAGAAGTTTCGGCCAAGTTCCTTCGTTCCTTTCTTGTGCCAGTACTAGGGCCTGACCTCAGGGTCTGGGAGCTGTCCCTTAGCCTTTTCACTCAAGGCTGGCACTCTTACCACTTGAGCCACAGCTCCACTTCTAGCTTTTTGGTGGTTAATTGGAGGTAAGAGTCTCACAGTTGTGCCTGGGCTGGTAGAACTCAAATCCTCAGATCTCAACCTCCTGAGTAGCTAGGATTACAGGCCTGAGCCCCTGGTTCAAGTTCCTTTCTGTACACACCTTTCTATAACGACCTTAAGGAGAAGTAACTAGGAA